CCGGTGAGATTTGAACCGCTGAACTGCTGATCTAGCAGTCAGCTGAAGTAGCCTGCAGTGCTGCATTTAACCACCGCGCCACCTCGGCTCTTTTAAGAAAGAAAATGTGCAGAAAACTGACCCATAAAACTGCTGAGAATCAGGCACAATTGATAGTATCATCAACGTTCTTGTGAATTTATTGATCAATGATAATAACAAAATCAGCTAACACTTCAAGCAGTTACTTGTCTTCTGATAACTGTCCAACTGCATTTCTTCTTTCAGCTGGTCAAATAAGGCATCTAATAAATTCAGTTTAGTAAAACTGATCACAATTCCTTAGCTATTATTACTCTATTTTTCCCTGAATAAATTATTTTTGTACAAATGTCATTCTGGATAGAGATTCAGTTGTTAACATTCTTTTATTTCTCATTAAGATCATATATATTCTTTATCCTTTATATTTTTAGTAACATTGATGCCTTATTTGGTCATCTGAAAGAAGAAATGCCGCTAGAGGGTTACTAGCAGCCAAGTAGCTGCTTGAAGTGTTGGCTGATTTCTTTATTATGATTGTCCAAATACCTCACAAGAAATTAAAACCTTTGCAATTTCATATATCCTCCCATTCTTTTAATGTGAGATGAAATACTCCCACAGAAAAAGAACAGTACAGCACTCATTTGATTCAGATAACTATGGAGATTCATAAACTGAAGAAGCTTCTTGGATGAAAATGACCGTTGGCCTACCTGAACAGTCGTTCTCTGGGTGTTGCAGGAGAGTCCAAGCATGGGTTAAATTTAGTCTATTCGCCCAAGGACTGAGTTGAAATTCTTATTTCCATGCCTCCTCATTGAGGTTCAGTTCAAAAACGAAGGCGTAGTCAATGATGGACTGTGATCTTGAAGTGTCCTTTGGGCGACTCCATAGCCCACACGCTCCGAGCAGCCTGAGACACCTGATAAATTAGGGACGAAGAAAACCCCAGGGCGGAGTTGGACTTTCCCACAGCGCCCAGAGAATCACCATACAGGTAAGTCAACGGTCATTCTCCTGCGCGCTGCTTGGAGAATCCAAGCATGGGACATACCCAAGCTATGAAGTCCCAGGGAGGGCAACATGATCTTTCAGGGTGCACGGAGTCTTAACTACCCTCTGCAACACTCTCCTCCCAAAGGATGCCTCTGCTGCAGCGTAGGAGTCACTGCGGTAATGCTTAATGAACAAAGTCGGAGATGACCAGGTAGCCGCTCTACAGATTTCTTCCACAAAAACTTGTGTTGCCCATACAGCCGTGATGGCCACACTCCATGTGGAATGAGTCATGAGTCTAGGTGGTACCGTCTTGCCCTGGTGCTGGTAGGCCAGTTTGATACATGACCTCAACCACCAAC